TCCTGCTCCCCTCCCTGGCCTTCCTCTGGTGTAAAGTGGGAAACAGGTCGGATTATCTGTGGGTCAGCTTTGAAACCCTCTTTTGCTGTAGAAAGCCGCTGTGTGTGCTTAGTGTGGTTCTGTGATCAAAATGTCAAGCCTTGGAACAGTTCCTGTTTTCAGGTAAAACACTGTTCCTGGTTTTTTTATTATTATTTGTGGGATGAAGGAAGAACGCAGAGTTCAGTGGGATTAATTCCAAAGTAGGTGGTTTAAGATTATGGCTATGTTTACTCACTGTGGGAAGGAGGAGGCGTGGCAAAACCTCCACTTTTACCGAAGACTGCGGTTCTATGCACACTTCCCTCTGAGCAAGCATTTATATGATCAGGCTGCATAATATTTTAAACCAAATGGCTATGGTCAGCTTACAAGGAAAGAAAGGGAAGGGAAGGGAAGGAGCCAGCCGGAAATAAAGAGAAAGGAAGAAACCTCAGACATACACCAACACGAAGTGTTTCTCAATTCCTAAAACTGCTTATTGGGGCAGTTGACTATAAGGCTTTGGTTGCGAGAACCAGGATGCCGCAAGTACAAAAATGTCCCTGTTTTCATCTTGCAGGATGTATGCCTTCAAGCTCCCACAATTTTCCCTAGCTTGCTTCTAAGCCTTTGGAGTAGAATGGGAAGTAAGGATTCACTTCTGCTTTCTAGGCATGGGTCCAATCGGTTTTCCCCTTGCCCCACTCCTTTTCCCATGGAAAACCCAAACATGAATTGCTGTTTCCTCCAATAGAGCGCCAAAGAGCAGTTTTCTCTAGCGGAAAGCAGTAGGACGAGGAGAAGCATGGACAAATCCTTGAATATAAATTATGGTCCAATCCCACGCAGTTATTGGAGCTCTCTATTAGTGCATGTCTTAATTGGAGAAGGAATCTCATTAGTGTATCTGTATTAATGAATTTGACTTCCAACCTTTGCGTATGTATCTGAGAGCACAGGGAAGCTTCAAACTGGATCAGTTCAAGCAATCGGAGCCAATAATTTACAACGATTCCAACCACATTCCCAAAATTGAGCCAAATGGATTAGGATTCTGAGTTGGCCCGAAGCATCTTTCTGTGTTCCTATTATGGTTGCTAGATCCTCTTTGTTCCCAGTTCTAGAGACTTTCCACAGGCTCACCTCTAAGGGAGTGTTGAAAGCATTAATCATGGTAAGAAAGAGCATTAGCTAAAGTCCTTTCTCTTCCTCTCAGCACCCATACACACAGTTCAGCTCCAGGTGATAATGCAAGAGGATTATTACTAAGAGATTACAGCGGAAGGATTGCCGAGCACTTTGGCCACGAAAAGGTGTTATGGGAGTTGATAAAGAAGAATAGAATTTCATGATACTAAGTCATCTTTTTAGCTCTTGTTGATAGTGGTGTCCCCATCATTCAGTGTGGTTAGGGAACAAGAGAGGAGAAATCCTGGACTGATTTATTTGTGACAGGATCTGCTTCAAGACTAGCAGGGCATACATTTACATGATCAAACCTATCCATCCTTAAGGAAATCAGCCCTGAGTGCTCACTGGAAGCACAGATCGTGAAGCTGAGGCTCCAATACTTTGGCCACCTCATGAGAAGAGAAGACTCCCTGGAAAAGACCCTGATGCTGGGAAAGATTGAGGGCACAATGAGAGGGGGATGACAGAGGATGAGATGGTTGGATAGTGTTCTCGAAGCTACCAGCATGAGTTTGACCAAACTGCGGGAGGCAGCGGAAGACAGGAGTGCCTGGCGTGCTCTGGTCCATGGGGTCACGAAGAGTCGGACACGACTAAACAACTAAACAACAACCGATTACGTTGGTGCAGATGGGGCTCATCGACCTGGGAAGGTAGCCCATCCCGGAGAAGGAAACTCAGGTTTCTCAGGTTCCACTGCCTTGTGGGATATCTTCAGAAGAAGAAAAAACTAAGGAGCAAACCTTACACAAATCCTAAGACAATTGGATGGCGTCTTGTACGCCTCCTCCTGGCAACTCTTGCAACCAGTCTGGTGGCAAACGTATTGCTCTGCTTTCCCTTGGACCACATCAGTGAGACTGAGAGGAGATGGGTCCTGTTGCCTGGGCCCCTCTAGGCCCTCAATACACACTGCCCATTCTTGTGCCCCAGGGAAGTCACTTCAGTGCTGCTAATGCACACCATTGTCTCTTGAGACAGATGGATGCCAGCAACAAGCTATGTCATTCATATCCCATCTTCCTTCCATTGTGTTACTCAAGACAGGGTTTCCTAATGGTCTCCCATCCGATAGACATTGACCAGACCAAGCTCTGCTGAATTTCAGCAAGTTTAACTACAGTACCCTGTTGCCTGTAGGTATTGGCTAGTTTGTTTGGAGCTAATATTGGACTTGCTGCTATAGTACTTGCAGCTTGATCTCGCCGCATGTTTACTTGGAAGCAAGTCATGTCAAATTTAATGAGGCTTAACTTCATAGACGGTGTCCTCAGGATTGCAGGTAATTCTGCTAATAATAGGATTGCAGGCTTAATTCAGAGTGTTTTGAAGAGACATTTGGCAAGCGCAGCTTGAGCTTTGGAGTCCTCACAACTAATAAGGTATTTGAAAGTGTATGTATGTGTGTGTAAGGGAAAAAACCCAGTGCAGATGAGGATAGCGTCCTTAGGCGGAGCCAACCTTGCAATATGCTGAGGAGTGCAGGCAGTAGATTGTGAAAGTCTTCAAAAGCTAAACACACAGGTTCTGTTGAGGGTGTGTTTATGTGCAGTCTTGCAATGAAGCACCCTGTTTTGCAAAGGTTAGTGCACCTGAAAAACTGTAAGTACTCGCGGTGTAGCATGTAGGCAGGTCTTCATAGTGTGATCTGCCCTCCCTGTTTGAGCTCTGAGCTCTGTGCTCAGAATCTTAGGTCAACCTTTCAGTTGACTGTAAGAGAAAGGGGAAGGCTGTGAGATAGCCTGCTGACATGTTTCCTTGCATGGCTGCCTTGCAGTGTAGGCCAGTTGTGTTGCATACTATCCAGTATTGCTACCGTGACCCCCCCCCCCTTTGTGCTTATAGCTCTTACACAGGAGGGTATTTTGGGGCTCTCAGGCTCTCAGGAAAACACTTTAATGGGGACTCAGAGATGACCACCAGATTCCTTGACCTGCCCTGGGGTTAAAGAAACTTACTTTTCTCCTAGCACCCAGACCGCTGTCTCGCCCAGAGATCACAGCAGCCTGCTTTCCCCTGCCAATCCCAGTCCTGTATGTCTGTGGCGGTTTAGGCCTATTTATTTGTTTGTTTGTTTTACACTAACCCTATGAGTTGGCAGCAATGCACACAAGACCCAGCTGTCAAACTACCGTATTTTTCACTCTATAACACGCACCCGACCATAACACGCACATAGTTTTTAGAGGAGGAAAACAAGAAAAAAAATATTCTAAACGAAACAGTGGATGTATAATTTTTGGTTCATGCTGTGGCCACAGACATGTGATCTGACAGTGAGTTTGGAGTAGCCCAATGCAAAAATCCTGAGGATCCATGTGGATCCATGTTTTGTAACCACGTTTTTGCACCACTGCAAACAGTGGGTGCATGATTTTTTTTGGTGCAAGATGTAGCCATGGACAATTTGGGGTGACCCAGTGCAAAAATCCTGAGGATCCATGTGGATCCGTGCTTTGTATCCACGTTTTAAGTGGGGAGGGAAGGAAAAGCACTCAAGGGACAAGGAGCACATGTGGGGTGTGTGGAGAAGGATGCTGCTAATAATGCAGAAGAGGGGTTTAAGGGGAGAAGAAGCACGCGTGGGGTGGGTGGAGAAGGATGCTGCTAATAATGAAGAAGAGGGGTATAAGGGGAGAAGGCTCCTCTCCTCTCCCTCTTTGCTCCTTTAAAGCAAGCAGGCTCTGCTTTTCTCCCTCCTCCCCGCTCATCCCCGGCTTAGCGAGCTGAAAAACTTTGCTGCTATTTAGCGAGCTGAGTGGTGAGGAGAGAGGGACAAAGAGCCTGCTTGCTTTAAAGGAACCAACCCGACAGGAGCCGCTTACACTTGTGTAAGCGGCTCCTCTCCTCTCCCACTTTGCTCCTTTAAAGAAGCAGGCTCTCTGTCCCTCTCTCCTCCCCACTCAGCGGCTCTTCTCCTGCTTTGCTGTTTCAAAGCGAGCCACGGAGGAGGAAAGGAAGGGGAACCATGGATCCTCTGCTCACAACTGCAGCAGATCCCCCCCGCCACCCGTAGGCTAAGCTTTTGGTCCAGCAGATATCGCTGCCAGATCAAATAAATATATTTGCACACCATCGTTCACAAGCACTTTAAGATTTGTGCTGGAACATATATTAAGCTTTCTATGAGGAGGCTCTGCAAGTTGATCCTTGAAGTTCTGCTAATGAAATAGTTAGCCAATCTAAGATGCTGCTGGATATGTTAGACTGAGCTTTTTGCTGTCTTTTTTCAGACATGAGCACCAATAGGTCACGGAGTACATTAAGTCCAGCTTCCTTTCCCGTTCAGGCAAACAAAACATTAATGTTTAACTTGACAGACGACAGCACGGTCCATTCTTGGGACTGTGAATATTTCTGAGCTCTGCCGTCGCTCTTGGTTTCCAACATAACAGCCAAAGAGAAACGCTCAGTTGTGATGTAAAAGGTCTGTAAATAAGCCGTATATAAAATCGTTGAATTGTACGACATACAGAGGGGTCATGTAATCCAACCTTAGTCCCAGGGGAACATCCTGTACACCACAGCCTAGGCCTTCACCACATAGTAACTATTTCTACAGATATAACACCCGGTGTCCAGATTTTGTTTTGTACCTGACAATTTTTTCATCTGTGTCTTTCAGCCATAGTAAGTTGAGAATGAAGCCTTCATGTTCAGAGGCAAATGCAACCCTGGGGGACATATGTTGTGAGCCACAAGTAACTTCCCAGATGATCATAGAATTGTAGAGCTGGAAGGGACCACAAGGGTCATCTACTCCAACCCTCTGCAACGTAGGACCCTCATGCCCAATATGGGGCTGGAACCCATGACCCTGACATTAAGAGTCTCGTGCTCTACCAACTGAGCTATCCCAGACTCCCATAATCCTTGACTATTGGCTGTACTGGCTGGGGCTGATGGGAGCTGTAGTCCCATCAACATCTGAAGGCACCATGTTGGCTATCCCTATTGTGTATGAACAATGGTAGGTGGCAATCGCAATTGCTTAGCGATGGAGAGCACACTGGGCTGTGTTAACCTTTGGTTATATTCAGCATTATTTGGGATGGAGGAGGCTGTGGACCTGCTGATGTTGCTGGACTTCATCTCCCAGCTCTAGCTATCATGGCCAGTGGTCAAGGAGTTGAAGTCCAAAAACATCTGGAAAGCAACAAGCTCACCACCCCTGAGCATGACAGCTCAGGGTTGTACCACAAGCAGGTACAAATAAAATGTATCTTGAAAAGAGATTTTAAAGTTAAGACATTGAATGGGAAATCAAATAAGCAACAATAACATAGCATTGTGTTTTGAAGTTAATAGTTTTAGCTTTTTATTGGGGTCGGCTGTCAGGATACTGGACTTCTCCAGTGATGCTCAGAGAGCATCAAAAGAGCCATTAGAACTGCAGCAAATATTTTGACCACTGAATCAAGGTGTTGGGTATCCTGTAAACTGGAATAAATTGGAAGCAGTGACACAGCATTGTTTAGTTGAATGAGGCTCATTCAGACATTTCGCTTTTAAAATTACAAGAGGGAAGCAGACAGGCAATAGAGCTGATGTGAACATGGAGGATTCAGGTTTAGGGAGCTGCCAAGGTAAATATTTAGGGATATGAGTAAAATGCAGTTTCTCAAGTTACCTTAGGGGTAGGGATGAATATAATAAAATGGAAAGTGTTTCCAGCATTGGTGAATTTGATAAATTTACCAGGATATTTAAGATAAGCCATTTATATTTATTTAAGAATATACATAAAATTATATATAGCTTCCTTTCGGAAACGTGTGTGTGTGGAAATTATCTTAGCTAAACTTCACCTACCTATGAATTCAGGGATTGAAGGGAGAGGATTAAGTTTCCCAATATGATCTGTTACTCAGCTTGCATTAGTGGGGATACATTGGCTAATGCAGATCAAATAGTCCAACCATGGTTTGGCTGTCATGAACAGACTTCAGTCTTGATTGCTCCCTCTCTTCCTTACTTATTCCATCCTTCCTCCTCTCGGTTAGAGCAAACCAAAGGCTTGCCACAGTGTACAGATTGGACAAGTGTGGTTTGCACAAACCTTTGCTTGCATCCTACTCAGAATTGCAGACCATGATTTGAATGGGATTTAGGATTCTGATCTAGAGGCAAATTATGGTATCTACAAACTTGGAGAAAAAGAAGAAAACCAGGGTGTGTGTAACGGGAGGATTGTGTGAGCCTGAAGGATGGATAAACCATAGTTACCCTGTTTGAGTCTGAAACCCGGGCAGAGAGAATTAGAAGTTCAACTGCTGCACCCTGCCTGAGACAGACAGAGAGATTATGAACATAATCTAGACCAGGGGTCGGCAACCCGCGGCTCCGGAGCGGCATGTGGCTCTTTTACACCTTTGCCGCGGCTCCGGGGCGGATACTAGCGAGGGGAGGAGGCGCATTGTGCTCCCTGACACTCCCCACTGTGGCGGACGCTGTACTGGCTGTGACGTCGCATGGGGGCGGTGCGTGCGTTAGTCACGCACCGTCCCGACGTCACCTTCCCGCCCGCTGCGGCTCCCAGTTTTTTTTTCTTCGGAAACGGGTCCAAGTGGCTCTTTTTGTCTTAAAGGTTGCAGACCCCTGATCTAGAGGGTGTTTCTCTGGCCCTGGAAATCTATCATACTGTCATAGTAGTGGTGGGCAGGTACAGCCTTCCACTTTGCTGTTGGGTCAGGGTTAATTGCTACTACTTGTAGATGAATGCATGGCTGAACCAGTTTACATAACATATATATTTGTTTGTTTTGGTATGACAAAGAAGTACAGTAATGATTCATGCTCTGAATGATGTGCAGGTTTAATTATTTTGTAGCTGGCAGGACTTAAGAGATCCTTTCTCTGGTTATTTGATAAAGTGCACAGCTGCTTGGGAATAATTGTGCCTCTTTTGATTTCATGTAAGCAGCTGTAATTTAAATGTGTGCGATCCAGAAGTTTTGTTTTGTGTGCTTGCTTTTTTATTTTATTTTAAAGGAAATTATTGCTTTTAAATGAAATGGGTCAAACCAAGAAGATAGTAGCCAGAACATAAAACACTCATGACTTTGAATTTTAATTGTAGGTTTTCTATTTTACAATGTGCTTTCTTCATACAGAAAATGAATTAATAAGAAAAAGTGTGAGTAGTACTTGGGCTATATAACAGCAGTTTGTTAAAATAAAATTTAAAAAACCCAGAATTGGAAACCCAGTTCAAATTGTGGGTTTTAATTCTGAATTCCAGGTAAACTATGGTTTGCAGCAACCATAGCTTGCCCAGTTCAAACAGAATGACGAACTCTCACTGATCATGAACCAGGAAGTAAGTGGGGGAATTGGAGCAGGGCTGGAGAATCTGTGGCCCTCCAGATGTTGAACTATAACCCCCGTCATTCTTAGACCATTGGCTACACTGGCTGGGGCAGATGGGAGTCTGAATCCAGCGACCTGTGGAAGGCCACAAGGAGGTTGGGCGGAAGCCCAGGGCAAAGTCTTCTTCCCCTGGGGGTTCCCCAACTGGTACCTCCCACCACTGCTCTGCATCCAGCCAGTCCATGACATGGGCTTATAAATAGACATCTGTGTACTCATCTGTGGTTGCTTAAGAATCTGCTTCCAGAGAGCAGAGGGGAAAACTGGATAAAATTGTGGTCTCCCCATTTGCTCATCCCTTTAGGGACCACAAATGACTAAGGTGACTACATATGGGCAAGTGGGCTAGAGCCACTCTTTTGTGGGCTAATAACTTTTCTGGAATAGCAGTGACTGGCATATAAGCTCTTAATCAGCCAAGAAGGGCTTTGGGCAATGATTGAGAAGTCCTCCGTGCGCCTTCCGTCAAAGGTCTGCCTAGTGGGAGCTCTCTGCTTGTGGTTAATCATGTTGTGCTCCAAGTAATGCAGCTTATGTTTCTGGTGTTATTTATTTCAACCCGGATAACAGCAGGGCCTCAACAGAGGCTTATCTGTGACGTAGACTCTCTCTCCTCGTGTCACTGAGTTTACAACGACTTCTGAAGAATTGGCACAGTGGTTTCCTGTGTTCCTCATTTTTGAGACAGAATGTTTATTTCATAAGATTTCCAGAGTGGTGGGTAGTCCTGTTATTATGTCTGTTGCCTCAAAACCACAAAGGGTCTTGTGGCACCTTAAAGGAATTAACAACTTTTAGTACAGGCAGCTTCCCATTTGTGTACGTTGAAGGCATGCACACGCTTGTGTTGCCGTGAACCCAGAAGCGGCGCAAAAGGGGGGGGGAAGCAGCCCCAAAAGAGCACAAAAAATGGCACAAAAGTAGACTTGCCTGTACTCCTTTCATGGGGTACGGACTGTAGCCCACAAAATATTAAAAGGTGCTATGGTGTCACAAGATCCTTTGTTGTTATTTCATATGGCATCAACTTCTGTAAGAGGATGGGGTTCAGAAGAGTTCTCTTTCAAGCCTCTTCTATCCACCACCACATTTTTATGTACACACCTGAGAAACCGCTTGAATCAGGACAAGATTCCCGACGCACGCCTTGCTGATCTGTGAACATAAAGTAGGGCAGTGAAATGGATACTTGCTCTAAAACGGTCTGCGGACGACAGTTAACATTTTTTTTATGTCCGGGTCACGCCATAGACTGAGATACTTTCGAATCTGCTTGAATGTGAAGTTGTGTGAGAGGATATCTTGGGCTGGAACATTTCTGGAGCCAATTGCATGTGGACCAGAACAATCTCATGGGCGTGGGGGAAGATCCTAAAATCATTTCGGTAGCACTGTTTCCACTCTTTCTCTGCCTGCCTTTCCTGTTTGGGAGCAGGAGAGGTTTTTTTTTGGGGGGGGGGGCGGGTTGGCCATGCAGCTGCTGGCATGATTTCCACTCTGGCTTCCCAGCTCCAAAGTTGAGAGGAAAGCTGGCTGAAAAGACGTCTCATGCTTGCTGGAAGGCAACGTTGCACTTTCATCCTGTCTTCCCTCTTCCTCCCTTCCCCTGGACTACCTGGAGGCAGTACAGTGGTACCTTGGGTTACAGATGCTTCAGGTTACAGACTCAGCTAACCCAGAAATAGTGCTTCAGGTTAAGAACTTTGCTTCAGGATGAGAACAGAAATTGCACGGCGGCGTGGCGGCAGCAGGAGGCCCCATTAGCTGAAGTGCTACCTCAGGTTAAGAACAGTTTCAGGTTAAGTACGGACCTCCAGAATGAATTAACTTCTTAACCCGAGGTACCACTGTATTAAGACCACTGCACTATATTGTTTTAACTCTGAATACAATATCGAAAATCTCAAGGTCTCGTTACTAAGCCTTCTTAAAAGCTATATCTCTGTTTTTCCCGTTGTTTTTTTGAACCTGAGTGAAAAAGTGGAACTGCAGGATGTGTGCTGCTGGAATCATTGAGAAATTCTGTGACGATAAACTGTGTTCAGTAATGGGCATAAGACAGGAAAGGATATCCTTATTTCCAATAACAATGAAGTTTGTGCAGTTCCAGTGACTCACAAAATGAGTCTTTAAGAATGTGTGACGTTATCCTGAATTTGCTCTATTTTCCCCATGTTTCTGTTCAACAGCAGCAATAGAATCTAATCAGGCTGGTGATAAAGATATTGCACCCTGGCCACTATTTTTGCCTCCCTCTTTCCCCCCCACAGAAATGAAAATAGCACAGCCAAGGGTGGTTTTTAAACCACGAAGTCTGCTGCTTCTGTTGCAAAACATCAGCAAGGCAGAGCCCAATATGTGCAAGAAACTGAAAAATGATTTACACACACACACTCCGGAATTCTCAGGACGTTTCAAACATCTGTAAAGCATCTGCATTCTTCCTCAAGGGAAGATGGAAATACATATGAAATATATTTAAGTCAATCCATA